TAAGAGGTTTGTGATTGGTGAAAAGAGTGAAGTCTCGGCCTTCAATAGAGTGTTGAAAGTGCCATCCAGCACAAAACATAGCTAGGAGTTCCCTACTGAAAGTGCTATACCTCGATTCGGTGTCTAACAACCGTCTCGAGAGGAATTTCAACGGTCTTCAGGTGTGGTTACCTGATTGTTGTAAGACTTCTCCGATTGCTGAGTCGGATGCGTCTACCGCGATACTGATGGGTGCTTGAGTGTCCTGGTGTGCCAGCATGGTTGCTTTTGCAATAAGCTCTTCAAGTATGGAGAATACTTTCCTCGCGGTATCGTCCAAATTGATGGATTTACATTTACGCGAAGTCGGTCGGTTGGCGGTTTCATAAGGAACGCGCTCTTCGGTATGAACCGTCCATCGAAACTTAGAAGGCCGCTAAAAGTGCGTAACTGTCTGACTGTTTTCGGTCCTTGATACTATAGAATGGTTGCCACTTTTCAGAAGTTGGATGCCTTAAGCATCAATAGTGTGTCATAGGAAATCTGAGGAGTCGGTTTTGATTTGACATATTCGAATATTTACAGTAATGCCATGCTTTTGCAGTCGTTCGAAGACAAGGTCAGAATACTGTAGATGAGATTCTCTGTCCGGACGTGCAATCAAGCAGTCATCAGCATACGCATGTACGAAGTTGAGACCTGTGAAAGCGTCATGAACCTGTGGAATAGTTGTGCAACATTTCTCAAGCCGAATGGCATGCACAAAAACTCGTAGAGACCGGAAGCACTGATGATAGCGGTTTTGGGAATGTCGTCAGCAGCCATGGGGATTTTGGAAAGGGCAGTTGTACCTTTCAAGGTAGATGTCAAATCATGAATGTGAGGCAACAGGTAACGATCGGGAATGGTTTTAGCATTCCAACGCCGATAGACACCAGTTGGACACCAATCGTTGCTGTCCTTTTTAGGGACCATGTGCAAGGGAGATGCCCATGAGCTGTTTGACGGTCGAATGATTCTTAACTCTATCATGTGGTCGAATTCGTTTTTGGCCAACCTCAACTTTTCGGGAGCGAGTCGGCGTGCTTTCGAGAATACAGGTGATCCTGTAGTCGTGATGGGATGTGTAACATTGCTGCTTACACACGGTGATCTCGGTTGCAGTTGGTATATCCCAGAGTACTCATCGAGTAATGGTTGATTGATTGGATAAGGAAAGTTGTTTGAATAGGCCATCATCGAAAGCATTTTGGCCACTAACCTCTCTCATTCTTAGAAACATATCCGTCGCAGAACCATGTTGCAGGTCTGACCTTTGTCGATCGGTTGGATCTCCGCCTTTTTTAAGGTTTAGAAACATTAATAGTAAACATACTAGGTGTGGCGTACCTTTTGAATTTGCGTGATAGTGCCTTTAAAACTGCGAGGAATTGTGCGCATGAATCAGTCATGCCGTGCTTGAAGAAGTTGGCCTCTGCGTAGCAGAACCAAACTTCGACATTTTCCGGCCAAAAGGGCATTAGCTGAAATGAGGGTGGTGTAAGAGTCTTGATCTTAAGTAGCTTAGGTGTCTGTCCTGTCGTCGTGAATTTAAAGTATGGAGATGAACGAGGGAAAATTATTCAAAAATACGACAAAATATCACAATGAATAAAAAAAATGAGGCAAAACATTGTTTTATGAAGTTCCAAAATGGAACAGACTCACAGTTTGTGGGTTGGTGTACCAGATCACGTCGGGTTCACCAATGAAGATGATACAGGTATTAAGATTTTGACAACACCTTAATCAGAAACACCTTCTATAATTTAATCGTGCCCACCCATTGAAGTCAATATTCAGAAGCGAGGAGGTTCAAGGATATATTTGATTGGATATCAATACATTAAGAAACGACTGACCTAACTAGCTAACGGTTGCAGGAGAAGTTGAGCACGGCGTTCTCATTCGTGATCGGGTGCGGATGCATGACCGATCGCCTTCAGCTAGGTGAGTCCATTAAAACTAATGTGGTCAGCATCCAATGTCGAACACTTACAGAGCTATTGATTTTGCGGATTTATTTACCACTGCATGCCACTATACCAATTACTAAGTAAATATTTACGTACTGAGTAATAACAAGTAATAGTACTAGTATTTTCTTAAATCGTTACATCAACTTTATTGTTATAATCGACGTTGTTCGTCTCGATTTCTTTATCATTATGATTGCAATTAATTTTTAAATGGCTACTTAATAATCTATTAATAAGCTATTGAACATCGTTCTGATAATTCTAGGTTCAAAAAGACATTCTGAAGTCGAGATAAGTTAGAAAGAGCTTTAAGATAATTCTAACAAATCTGAATGAAATCATTATTGTGAAAAGTTTTAGTCAGTTCATAAATAGGATTTGTCACTACATGGCCAAATCTTCAAGTTTGGTAAGTTATCTATTTAATTCTTATTTAACAATGTGATTAGGCAGACTAACCATGAACTTGGAATTTCATCGAAAAAAGCCACGTCTGGATTATGATTAAAACAAGCTTTATTTGCTGTTAAATAAGATCTTATTCATGAGTGAGGAACCGATCCCACCAAGTGAAAGTTAAGTTAGTGAATTTACATAATGTGGAAGTGGTTCTTTCTATGAAGCTCCCAGTCGAATTCTCTAGTCAACTGTATACGTAAGAATAGATATAAAACAGGTCGTAGAGTTTGACCTCACTTTGTATTACAACCTAGTTTAAACAGGCTGTACAGAACCCGCTTTATTTCAAGGTATTATTGTCTATACTAATTGTTCAAACGAACGTATAAGACAATTCAGAATAAATTCCACTAAAGCTGTAAAAGAACTGTGCTTTGTAGTTGAAGGTAAAACAAAAATTATTGGGAGCATGAATGCTCTTCTAATAGGCACTGAAGAAATTTTTACAATTTATTACTTTCAATTCAAACTCATTGATATATGAAATTTGATCCAGTGTTTTGTCTTGATCTAGTTATATTTCCATTTTATGATTGTTCGAATCAGCTTTCAGAGTCTCTTCACTTTCTCAATATGGATGATTGAATAATATAATCATTATAGTTAAAACCAAAATTTATAATCTGCTTTCAAGTTAACTATGATGATTGTTACTCTCAACCGATCAATATTATTCAAAATAACCTAACAGCAAAGTCTATAAGCCTAAATAGTTAGTTTTACGTTTACAAAACAATGAAGATGTTTTTTTTTCTAAAAGATATTAACTATTACAGTAATTAGATATAGAAAACAGATGATACTCCCAGGAATGTTGAAAAACAATTGACTCATTCACTTTTGTCAATTAGACAAGACATTTTCCACTAAGGAACAACAGGGCATTTCCTTGGACCAGATTGCCAGGCGAAACAATGGATTTACTTCAAATTCATTCGCTGAGATTTTACAAATATATTATTCCTATTTAATGTCTTACATCAACTCGGCGCCCAATTACTGTGAAGCTATTCGCTATAATTTGGACGAAAGTTCTTATATAAAGGCATCTTACAGTTTATGCATTTTATAGTGAACATTTTCTTCTTCATTTATAGTAACAATGACACTAAATATATCTTATAACATTCCATTATGTCTCAATTCATTGCAGTAATCTGAAAATCGCATTTATTACATTATGTATGTCTTCCCAATTAAAGTCAACCATCCTCATTTCTTTAGTTAGTATAAATCAATAAATTTATGATGAATGATGAAACCAGTATTTTAGGAAACTGGAACATTTTTCAGTGTAACTGACACTTATTAATATTGAGAAATGTTCAGATGTAATAAAAACAAACTTATTAAAACATAAGGTCAGGTTAAAATGTCTCTAACTTTTGTTGATAAATTATTTATGGGCGAATTTTAAATGTTTACGTTCTATAAATTAACATCTGAATATTAAAGTTAAGTATTTCATCTCTTTAATGATCTCCTAAAACACTTTCCATCATGTAACATTTTGGTGAGTTCTTAAGCTATTTCCAACCTCTAAGAATATTGGCATTTATACAGTAAAATGTAATAACTCTGGAATATATTCATTAATTTCTAACTTATAATTCAGCTGATAGAATAAAATAAAACTACTGAAGTGGAAGTTGAGGTCTTAAAGCTTACCATAATTTTTTTTCAAATTGAAGGAATTTATCCCGTTTTACTGAACCTCAGAAATGGAGATTTAGGACATATAGTAATGAATAGTTAGTTGTGGAACAACACCACGAATCTTTTGAAGTTGAGTAACGGAATTTATTAAATATCCATTTAGTAGTGGCCAGTAAGTTTTTAAATGAGAAATGTGAGGGTTCTTTATGTGATCGCTCTTAGATCAACAGTAAACACACATAATATTCATAATAACAAATAATCGTACATCCATTACTTTAGTTTCGATTTTCAATGAATATTCAAACGATTCAATTTTGAAGTTTAAGAAATCATGAAGTCAATTACCATAAATAAAAAATGTATTATATGGGTGAAACTAATGTTATTTTGTAATCAACTGTGGACTGCAACTAATAATCTCTTAGAAAGTAAAAACAGAAATATTCATAATGGAGCAATACACAGGTCACAATGCTACAGCTCTTATCTTGATTGTGTTGTAGTTAAACTTCTAAATTGTCTAGCTTTGGTGATACCCACATTTGTTGAATTACTGGTATCTAAAGAATCAAGTTGATATGGTTTAAAATTTGTTACAGTTACACTCACATAATTTACTTTTCTAAACTTAAACATTTTATTATTATGCCGTACATTTTAATCTTTGCTTTGCTGGCTTATTTCCATTGATTGTTTATTACTGGAAACTTCTGTCCTAACGTGTCTTTTCCACTAAATTATCCAATACAGTTTATCATATTCTTTTCATTTTTATATTTTTATATCAGTTTCTTCTTGGATGTGTTGATCCAATGCATTCTGACTTAAATCAATCAAGTTTTAAACAAACAAATTCCTTTAGTTTCTAACACCAAAACAGAGCATGATGATTAACGTTTATCTTACTGAAAGCAGAACATTTACATTTCATAACGGAAATACTAAAGTCGAGGTGCTAAATTTGAATTTATTCTATCTGGAGATCTTCATGCCCCAAGTAGTTTTTGAAGTATTGATAACACCGTTGATTAACTTTTTTTTCAAGCTTCTAGATTCTTGGCTTTCAAGTCCACTGTTTTACAACAGTGGATGAAAAATGACTAATAAAATCAATCTGAAAGGCCGTATAAAGTGACGTAATAATAGTGATATAATCTTTGGGTATGTTACATAAATCTATGTGTGATAAAAAGTTACGTGTTAGTCATAAGTATTTCGTTTAATACACAATGAGAAATTTACAGTTATTAATTAAGTAAACAATTATGAAATACGTATTTGTATATGCCTACAATGAAAGAAAAGGAATTTGCTTTGACAAGTGTTCAAAAGTAATAAAAATTATTCAAACAGAAAATCTGTTTATTTCGATTGTTTATATTGATGTAAAGAGAAAGAGCAAGTAAATTAGTCATTTAGGGAGGTAAAATTGAATAACTTAGTTACCACATTTTCATATAGTTTGGTTTATTGTTCTTCAGATTTATGGTTTAAAATTTTTATAGCCTTGATGCTATTTATTTTGATTCTATCCTTATTGCAAAGAATCAGATCTGTCATAGTGCATTAAGACTGACACCTAGAATAAAGTTTAATGTTGTTATTATTAGAAAAAATGAAAGCATACAAAAAAAAATTACTTATGATATTATGATAAATAAGTAAGTGAGGTTTAATAATAAGTAGATGGTTAGGATAAACTAACTTATTTGTATGTATTGGTACTACCATTTATAAGATAAGTAAGTAGCAACAACATTATATAAATATTGAAACCGGTGGTTGAAAGAATTAAAGCAAGATACATGTCATTGAACAAAATAATGAATTGAATCTTACAAAAATTTGTGATTGTTTTCTGATGTGTGTAAACATTTTCTAATCATATAATTTAAGAAATAAATTGGTGAATGATTTACTTTGTCTGTCTTTTTTGTAGAAATAAGATATTAAAATATGTCTATCAAATATGTTAGTACAGTAAAAATAAGAGAAAAATGATATATGATGGGTTGCATTATTAAAGTGACGTAATAGTTGTGGGATAGTAATAATAATAATAATAATAACAATGATAATAATAATAGTAATAGTAATGATAATGATGACTTGAAACGTTTTACTCATTTGACTAAAAGAAAGAAAATACAAAACGAAAAAAATGTCAGAAAATAAACTCTTGATGACAAGGCGTATTCAAATTACACGAAACTTTTTACAATGATAATATTAATATTAGAAAATGTTAAGATACTTTTATTTTAATCTTTATTCTTTTGAGATTTTATTGAGAAATCTTTTTTCTTTGAAAATATGAATAAAGGTTATTCATTCCAGTTGCTACGATGAGTTTCGTTCTTTGTTTACGTGGATTATAAGAGAGTTTTTATGGGGCATCTCAGTAATGTTCATGTTCCATTTGAATACACTCTGATCATCAAATGGAGTATCTACAAAATCAAAAAATCGTTATATATATATATGCTAACTGCATTTTAAAAAAAGAGTATACGGATATGTGAAACTATAGTACTGATAGATTTTTAGCGAGCATATGGCTGATAGAACGATAAAAACAATAGTCGTAACAATGAGTACAATTTCATTTAACATTGTATTCGGATTCCGCTTGTCTAAACCAAGATATTCAATTTACGACCATGATTGTAGCAATTCGGATAGATAACATAGTGTGAGGTGGTTGGAGGTAGTGGGTTGGAAACCCTGAATCTAGGTTTCATGTTAGTTGGCACTTGTCAATGAGACGTTCCTACAACGTTGAAAGGACTGAAGTTCCCTATAAGATACCGACTCTTCATCAGGGTTGACAGTCCAAGGAGTGATCACTAGGCTACTCAAACCACGCCTGACCTACTATAGCACTGATATAGCTACATGGGCTAATCACCAAGTCATAATATATATCAAATTCGTCAAATCACTAGTGCTATTCAAATTCTGCTGATCGAATTACAATATACCTATTGATCCAGGTGACTCAGCATCATATACACTATGTTTCATATATTCCGGGAGATCGATTAACTTGGACTAATTGGCCTATGGAAACGTAGTCAATAGAATCGGAACAGAATTGAAGACTAAATATTACCATGACATTGGTTGATACATAGCAATCGATCAATCTAGCTGACTTGATAAATAACAGCATAGCGTAGATCACATGACCTTTAAAAACTTTCAGTCTGTCACATTTTTTTACGAGATAAACGGGAATACTTTTGTAAATAACTAATGCATGTAAATTGTACAATAGAACGTTGAAAGTGGAACAAGTAACGCATACTATATTTTCTAGCTTTATAGTCTGTAGTTTTGGCGATCACTTAAATAAATTCCATGAGCTTTCATAGAAATAGTCTCCCAACACAAACTGCTTTTTAGTTGTTTGGTAATATCTGAAACAATATGATATTTAAGCATTTTTCTAAAGATATGGACTATTGTAAAATATCTAAGGACATAACCTGTCAAGAAGTTCATTGTAATTTCAGTTGATATACTTTCATCACACAGTAAAATTATCACAGAATCATATATTTAAGTTTGTGAAACTTATTCTGAAGATGAATTTATTAGTTACTTTCAGATTAACTAATCTACTGTGGTGGAATAGGCATAGGTGAGTTTATGAAATTTTATTTAGAAACTAAACTAAATAAGATACTGATTTACACATAATTAGTATTCATTTCATAATAAGTCTATTCAATATATTTATGCTACAGTTACGTACATGATCAATCCATTCAAACCTTAACGGAAGAAAAAAATAGTATAAATATGGATAAATTAAACAAACTGTTGGAAATAGACCATCAGTAACCAACTTAATTCGTACATCTAACTCGTGGACACACCTTGAATAATAATAATAATAATAACGTAAGCAAAAATGGATAGTGACTAGCAGTAGAATCCAGGACGCGCGTTTCGTCCTATTTGGGACTCAGCTGAATTTACCGGCATCTCAGAGTTGATATTCACTGTGGGACTCGAGCCCAGTACCTTTCGCTTCAAATGACATCGCGTTATCCACTCAACTACTGAGTCCTGATAGCCACTTGCTTGTGCAATGGGGTGAAGTTTAAATTCACTTAGTATTACTTGTTTGAATCTTCCCATTGATGTTTAGGACTGCAACTGGTAAGTCTCCATCCATCTTTGCTTACAATGCTTGTGAAATAAGGCTATATCGAGGTAATACGCACGGTATGCACATATACTAATAAGAGACTGACCAGTTGCAATCCTAAACATCAATGGGAAGATTCAAACAAACAATTTTAAGTGGATTTAATAATAATAACGCTTTCAATTCTTTAGTAATAAATCTATTTTAAATGAATATATATATATATATATATATATATATATATATATATATATATATATTTGCCATACATTATATAAGAATCATTTCTTACCTAAAATTGATGATCCAGAACTATTCCAACTTTTACGATGAGAATTTGAATGAACTAATGAATTATTTGATTGAAAACAATAATTTTGTTGTATACCCTTTAAATTAAAACTATTCAGACGATTGATTCTTATAAATGCAGATGATGATAATTGTGAATGTTTGTGATGATTTAAACGATTCATTGAATTATTTGAAATAGTTGAATAATTTGATTTGATTATTTTTTTATTTGGTGATTTATATGATGGACTATTAATGATTTGTATAGATTTTGGCAAATCAAGATTTTTATTTTTATTTACGTCAATGGATAGTCTATTCTAGTTTGATGGTTCAAGTTTCGTTTTTAAGTATTGTATTGTAAAAGGAAAATAAAAAGCAATAGAAAAAAAATCACAATTTTCATAAGTATGAGATTTGATAATTTAGTATAAAATTGAACGAAGTATAAATACTTTAGCAAATAAAATTTACATAGTTGGAATCATGAGTCAATTGAAGCTAGACAACCATGGAAAACCTGGAAGCACTGGACGGCTGTTTCGTTCTATTGTGGGACTCCTCAACAGTGCGCATCCACGATCCCGCCTCTCGAGATTCGAACCCAGGAGCCACCAGTCTCTCACCAGAGCACTCAACCGAGACTGGCGCGAGACTGGTGGGTCCTGGGTTCGAATCTCGAGAGGCGGGATCGTGGATGCGCACTATTGAGGAGTCACACAATAGAACGAAACGGCCGTTCAGTGCTTCTAGGTTTCCAGGCTGGCTTCAGACCTGGTCGTGGCTGTATCGACCACATATTCACCATTCGTCAAGTTTTAGAGCACAGACATGCTTATCGGCGTCCGACAATGATAGTTTTTCTTGACTTGAAAGCAGCATTTGACTCTGTAGACCGAGAGGTTCTGTGGCAGTGTCTGTCATTGAAAGGTGTACCTGAGAAGTACATAAACCTTGTGAAGGCTCTTTACTCGAACACTATCAGTCGAGTGAGAGCTTATGGTGAACTGTCATATGATTTTACAACCTCAAGTGGTGTCCGTCAAGGCTGTCCACTATCCCCCTTTTTGTTTAACTTCATTATAGACCTGTTGCTGCAAATGACACTCTCGTCGACTGAGTTTACAGGAATTGATCTCCTACCAGGGGGACCACTAAGCGACTTAGAATACGCAGATGACATAGTCCTGTTTGGTGAAGACGCTGACAAAATGCAGAGTCTTCTGTTGGAACTGAGTAATAATGCCAGGATGTTTGGGATGCGTTTCTCCCCATCCAAATGTAAATTGTTACTCCACGACTGGCCTGCGTCAACACTCGAACTAAGGATAGGGAGTGAAGTAGTCGAACGCGTTGACAACTTCACTTATCTTGGAAGTCTGATCAGCCCTAATGGGTTGGTGTCTGACGAAATCTCAGCACGGATTCAAAAAGCTCGTTTGGCTTTTGCCAACTTACGTCACCTATGGCGAAGACGAGATATCCGTCTATCAATTAAGGGACGAGTATACTGCGCAGCAGTTCGCTCTGTTCTACTTTACGGCTGCGAAACATGGCCATTAAGAGTAGAAGATACTCGTAGGTTACTAGTATTTGACCACAGATGCCTTAGAAATATTGCTCGCATCTGCTGGGATCACCGAGTAAGTAATAGTGAGGTTAGACGCAGGGTATTAGGTAACGATGGTAAATCAGTTGATGAGGTGATAAATCTTCATCGACTGAGATGGTTGGGCCATGTGTTACGTATGCCTGAACACCGATTACCACGACGCGCTATGATGACTAGTATTGGGGACGGTTGGAAGAGAGTTAGGGGCGGCCAAACCAAAACATGGCATCAGTGTTTGAAGTCACTAACTTCTAGCCTGAGCCATGTTGGCAGATGCAGACTACCTGGTTGGGGTCCGCGTGACTATCGTAATAAATGGTTGGAGACTCTAGGTGACATGGCTCAGAATCGATCACAATGGCGTAGGTGTATACACTCTTTATCTTCCCTTAAACCTTGAGATTAAAATTGCTTCATATCTCTCTTCCTTCCTGTACTATATCCTTCTATACAATCTTTCTTTATATACTACCACCACTAAATTAATTGCTTCTATGAATCCGGTGTTCATCTTGTTGTGCTAACGAGGTATGGCAACTTGGACCGATGCATATATGTGCCTGGTCCTACGTTGTAGCTGACTGACTGACTGATGGTTGTCTAGCTTCAATTGACTCACGATTTCAACTATGCAAATACTGAAATCTCCACAAAAACCCTTCTGAAAATAAAATTTAGTTGATTATAGAATATATTAGCAAAAATATTACACTGGGATTTATCTTTCCTTATATACCTTGTATTCAATTGAGCAACTTGAATGATGCCGATGAGGTTTTTTAAAATATCAAGTGTTTCATATAAAACACTCTTATTAATAAATCATAATTTGACAATAATAAAAGGATAATAGAAATTACTCTAAAATGTTAGCGTAAAAAGTGATTATTTCCCTTGGAAAATTTATCTGTTTAAAAGTAGACTTGTAAGGATCAAGTGAAGTATTTATGATATTATAGAGAATAAGATTGAAATATAGGGAAAGAGCAGGTTAAGACAAAGCACAATGTTTTAAAAAAAATAATGAGAAAATACCTCAGCATGCAGTTTATTTATGTCAAACTTCCGCGCACTTCTGAGGGGTACCATACTAAAACGAAACAGAAGTCCAGTGCTTCTAGGTTTTTTAATCGTAGTTCAACAGTAATCGGTTCATAATCTCAATGAAACTACATCAAACTTTATTGAATATTACTGCCAGAGTGTTACAATGATTAGTTAGTTATCCATTCTTATTTAATTCAATAGTTTAAAAATAAATCAAATTATTTTTCGAACGTTTACGCTCCAAATTCTGTTTTCTTCAACAGATGAATAGATAACAACACACTTTCATTTATTTTGAGTGATATATACATTAGTAAACATTTAAATTTCGAATTTGTATCACTTATCTTATAGTAGAATGATTCATTATTTTGAATACTTGCATAATCATTTTTATAAACGACCTATTTATCTATGCAAAAACACACTAGAACTCAATCAAGTTTTGTGTTTATTAATATATATACAACGTTTTTTGACACAGTAGAAAGAATCGAATAAGATTTAAATACATATGGTTGTATACAGAGAGATAGAAATGATGAATGATAAGTTAAATCGATAGCGTATACCATTGTATGCATTAAGCCTGATTATAATATGAAACTTTGACAAGTTGAGTGGTTTATGGGAATTATTGTTATGTTGACTTTGATTATTTAAGAGATTATTTATAGGAATGAGAGTGGATAGATTTAGAATTTATAATCGATTCAAAGACAGCTCGTAGTGATTTTGTACCAAGATCTAGCATAGGTGACATTTCACAATCCTGTTGTCACTTGAGCTTATACTGCTCAGTTCAAAGTATGAATGAGTAACTGTTGAGGATTTTCTAGCTTTAAAGATGTTTACTGACAAACTGTGAAGTTTAGTAAAAAGTGACCGTAAATTTGATTGAAATAGCTAGCTCGATTTAAGATAATATAGTGTTGCATAATGATATTATAGTGAGCTTATTTACTGAATTAAACGGCTATAATCTATATGTATGGTAACGGTAAAGATTATTGTTCAGTAACGTTGTCATCTTGAAAACACTAACCTTATCGTTTCAGAGGCTCTTATATTAGGAAATTTTCGTCGACAAAGAGACTAAGCAGAAAATAGTTTAGTTTAGTGTATTGTTTATTGAAGTGATAAAAACCGTGAATATATTTAAGTGAATGAAAAATTTTTTTTTATTCGTATGCATATAGATTAACTTACTTGATTCATCTTTTGACCAAATTTTCCGTCATTAATTTTGTTCGTAAGAGCACCATGTAAATTTACAAAAGTGTTGCTACTATTCAGTTCATTACTATGATTATCGTCACCAAAACCATTTGCATTAATCAATTCAATTTCTTTCGAAGAATCTGAAGATGGTGATGATAAACTTATGATCTTAAATTGATCAGTCGATAAAGATCTCAGACGATTTCGAGATTCTTTAGCTTTTGTTTGTAATGAATATAATTTACGTTTAACAAGTGCTGTAAGATTATTTGTTGGAGTAATACTTATTGATTTATTCTTGATATCAGTATTGTTATGACTATCATTATCATTATTATTGTTATCACTGACATTCTTACCAATAATATTTTGATAGTAAAGTATTTTATGCGTATGTCCTGAAGAAATTGTCAAATATTTTCTAACAGGTCTTTTCATTTTTTCATTCAATTTATTCGGGTTTTTTACCGACGAAAATGAAACTTGTTCTGGTTGATGTTGTTGACTGCATACTTTTTCATATGGAATAAAATATTGACTTTTTGAACTAAATGACGTGTCAATATCCGAGCTTTGGTCAGTTAGAATGGAATTATTATTATTATTATTATTATTGTCACCAGACTTAGAATTATGTTCATGTTGATGATGTGTAGTAGTAGTAGTGGTAGTAGTAGTAGTAGTAGAGGTGTTGTTTCTTTCATTATAGCATAATTGTATTGAGCTTTTAGTTTTCTCCAGTTTAAATGCTTGCACTTGATGCTCATTATCGGATTTGTGTTTTGTTGTTGTTAATTTATTTTTACTGTTCGGTAGGATTATGGATGTATTGCGTGGATTTGAATCATTCGAAGGATAAGAACGAACGGTTGATAAGTTAGTTAAACTTTTTGATAATTGTTCATTACCATACAGTTTATTATCATATAATGTTGAATTATTTTTATTCTTATGTTTATTACCATTATTCTTACTAGTAGTAACAGTGTTAGTGGTATGAATTCGAGATGGCTGCGAAAAATTAATTGAATTTTGTTCAATAGCAAGTAATGTGATCGATTGTTCTGGTAATAAATCATGTACATTAATACCAGGTGGTAGAATACATTTGAAATAAACATGCTTGAGTGCATCAGTAGCTGTAATTCGACGATTTCCAACTAAGGCAAGACATTCAAATAATAATTGTTGACCATCTGAATTCAATCTTGCTGCACTACATGACAGTGTATTTTTTATTTTTTCATTATATGTATCAATAGAATCGACATTTTCATCATATAATTGTTTATTTAATTGAGATGAGGGTTTTTTACTGTCAATTAAATTAAGATTTGTAGAAGACTGAGAATAACTGGGCTTATTTGATTCACACTTTTCTTTATGTCGATTTGAATTTAGATATTCTAAAAATTTAGGATTTGTCCTTAAATTGGGCCAGTAGGATTCTGGTGGAATTCCTGGAAAAGCATGAAATATGTTATTCAAATCAAAAGTCAAAAAAGTTTACTAAATATAGATTTATGTTGAGATAAGATGGTGGTTGGAGGTGGTCAACAGGAAACCCTGGACCCGGATTTCGTGCTACTTGGTACTCGTCAGCAAGGTGTACCTGTAATCTCGAAGGAACTGGTGCTCCCTGATGGATTCGATCCAGTGTCACTCAGCTTCACAGTCAGAGACGTTACCACTGAGCTATTCGGGCCGCGACCGACCTCCACATTGCAACTTGATCGATAGCACTTGATCAGCACTGAGAAAGACTTGACACACATGACATTGATCACCACCCATTGATCAATCAATTGTGATAGATTTATGTGTTATTTAGAACTACGTTTGCAAATTAAACTCCAAAGAAATGCTCAAAGACGTTTTTAATAGTATTTTCCTCAATCATTTGTATTGTTGATATCCACTGTCAAGAAAGTTATATCTGAGGCCTTGTAAAAAACAAATATCGAAAAAAAATTAAAATAGCTTTCGTTTGATGTGTCATTACAACACGAATGTTGCAGCCGGCTAGCAATAAACTGTACCATTTGGAAGTAAGTTAAATGGTGGGATGGGATGGTGAAGATTTTTAGCTCAGGTGGATGATTAAAGTGAAGTTTCGTTTTTTGAGCTGGATGGTTTGGTCATGAAGTTTCGATTGTTTTACTGAATAACATCAACACAAACTTCAGGTAGAAGAGAAGTGTTTGAATTTCTTCACATGTGACTGACACCTTGTCCTATCGATCTCAGTCCTAATTGATTATAGTTGATCTTTTACCTTCCATTGTCTACATCTTTATTTTGATTGGTTTGGTTCTTGGCCCTGTATTTGTCCCTGATTTTTCTGATAGTGATCGATGTATTTTATTACTCAGGGCTTGACTTCATTTTCCAAAGAAAGAAACATATCCTATAGGTTGAAAATGAGGGTCTATTTTGTGATAGGAAAATATATAATATGAGTGAGATGTACATAATTGATAGATTCGGTCGGCCAAAAAAAAGATTCTTATTTACTCTTGGTTCTTATGTTCAAACAGCTGATTTGGCTAAGTGTATAGAAAGCTTACCTATCAGAAGCAGATTTAGACAAATGAAGAACATAACAGATAGCAACCGGTTAGTAGCGAGATTTCATAATCGACATGGTGTAATGATTTCACAATTAAACTGTTCAAACAGTATGGACTCTGTTATTTAGTTCACATCCGTATTTACGGATCTAATGTACATAATTTGCCAAATAGGCAATAAAGAGGAAATTTATTGAACACTGTATTACGTATACCACCTACCTCAACACTAAAAAAATAAATATTATTTTGGATTTTATTTGCCAGGTAAATATTACGTACACCATGTATGTTAGTTGGTTGAAGATGGTGGACAGAAAAACCTGTAACTAGGTTTCACGCTAGTTGAGACTCATAAGGAGGGTACACCTTCAACTTTGAGGGATATAATGTTCCGCATGAGATTCAAACTCACATACTATATGTGCAATGAAGATGTTGAGCTTCTAATTAGTGTGCATATACGATATTTTCTGCAGTTCAACTTCCAATGGTTCTTTGATTAACACCGACTTGTAGTAGAATTTATCAACCTCCTTAAAATAAACTGTGAACTAATTTTCAATGCTTCTTGTTGTAACTATTTTGCATTAAATAATCGTCAAGACAAATATATATACTTCTAATAAATATTCACGTAAAAGAGAATAATTATATTACATTAAAGAAACTGTATAATATTAATTTGCTATGATAATAGCCTAATTAAACAGCAAATATTCTCTTGTGATATCCCCATTATACTCTATGAATAAAGTTAAATAGCGATAAATTGTATGAGTATTTACACTGAGTTAATTACGATGAGTTCCGCTTTTCATTAATTGTCTTCAGTTACATTGAAAATTGAAGCCTATATATATATATATATATATATATATATATATATATATAAACATGAAGCAAGTATAACGCTGAAAGATTATATCATAATTTAATTAAAATTAATTATTTTAACTAAATTAATCATTTAGAAAATGAAAGAAAATAATTAATTTGTTTACCGAATTTTCTAAAAATAATTTTAATTTGATCTTCTTTTGAAGTACCAGGAAAAAGACTATAACCTGTTGTCATTTCATACAGAATACAACCAACTCCCCAGATATCAATATGACCGGAGTAGTTTTTATCACCTAATAGTACGTCTGGTGGTCGGTACCTATTTTTTTTTAAAAAAACGATAGTATATGAAAGCTTAATATGATAAATGAGTAAATTTTTGAATGTTTCACTGGAAAAAATACTTACATAAGTTGCCGTTGATTCATTATATAAATTTAAAAGTGAATGATAATAATGACAGTGAACTGATAACAAACACCGTGTTTACCATTTGAACCTTGATCATTCTTTCTTTAGTTAGTTCTTAGTTGTTCACTCAAATATTCTTCATTTTTGAATATTCTATGGGGATCATTAAACTGCAATATTGATGAGTTTGAATTTGAGTTACATAAATTAAACTTTGCGCTCAACTGAAGCTTATATCATTAGAAAAGGTTTTTACTGTTTAAATATCTTAATGTGATGTGTGATTGTTACCATAGGTAAGATAGGTGTACTAGTGATCAAAATTTATCAGTTCTTTGGTTTACATTATAAACAATGAGGTAAAGATGTGAAGTCATGGTGATAAAAATGTGCGACTAATCAAGCCTTGCTTTTCACTTTAATTTGATTAAGTATGGTACACTTAGTATTTTTTCAAAAACCATTTTCACATCATGTGGTCTAGTATTGTAATTGTGGCACAGGCACATCTCTTAAATTAGATGTGAATGAAGATCTGTTCGAAAACGTGCTACTCACAGGGTGAATTATGTAAATTAGAATATAGATTATTCATATAGTATTCTACCTAAATTAACACTCTATCATCAAAAATAAATTATAAGAAGCAGGCAAGGAGAATTTCTAGATTTAAATGGTTTATGTTTATAATAGCTACGAGAATTATCAATCTAAGAGTAAAGTTTGTTTTAATAACTTCTGCTCTGTGAATCAGTTAATCATATTTTTTGAGTTAGATTAAATAAAAATAGAAAATGTATCACATTTGTCAAGCAATATTATTTACAGCTAGGTTAGATTTATCGATATTGATCCAGATAAGGCTCTACAGATTACACAGTGTACCAAGTTTGCAAGCTAATTTTAATCGATACATGGATTCAGTATTCGCTTGACTTAAGTACATTATTGGTAAATGTATAATTCTATTAACTCGGTGTATTAACTCTTTCAATTTTATCAATGAGACGCATTATCTCTATTCATTTTACGTAGATATTAGTGTATTATATATCATTAACAACTTTCAAATAGTAAGTAATCTGATACACAAAAAGTAACTACAATCAGTCAAATAAATTTAAGTTACAATAATACAAATGTGTTTTATGTAGGATTTTAAAAAAATTCTTCAGTTTAAATAGGAATAATATATTTGTAAAATCCCGCTGCGGTTTTACAAGTATATTATTTCTATTTAATGTCTTACATCAACTCGGCGCTCAAATACTGTGAAACTGTTCGCTCTAATTTAGACGAGAGTTCTTATAAATTCTTCAGTTTGTTATTTTATTGAGAAAAATGTTTGAGTACAAGGTATTAGACGTTTCTTCAGCATGGTCCAGTAAACAGCGAACAGAGGCCAGTATGTTTTTGACTTGGTCAGTAAAACTTCCACCATTCAGTGTAAGGCATACGTGTAAGGCATACAAATAGTGCTTCGGTCATGCAGTAAAAAAATACACATCTGTATATAATCAGTTTCACTTTTAAAATCTTATTGATTTAAGTTTGGATTTTTTATTTTATCTTGAGTGTGTTGCAGTAACTGAGATAAATGCACACTAGTTGTTAGGTTTTTTAACATACAGAAATGTGTCTTATCTGTGTGTGTATATCTGTATATATGTGTAAGTCATATGTAATAATGTGGTCAAAAAATTTTGCTAATGTTATCAAGTCAATAAGCCGTATCCAAATTTTTTATCCTTTAGTCAAATACATCATGTCCTGATTTAGCTTTACCTTTAAAAGAGTATTGAAATCATTGAGTAAATATCTAACACATGCAAATGTAATGGAATGGTAACAAGTAAACTGTACGTTTATGTAAATATAATTTTACTTCAGTTGCTTATTAGTATACCCGATAGCAAGAGCTCTTTTTTCATGTAAAAGGGTTCGAATTAATCTAGACGCAATTAGTGATTATCATATTTGTTTTATAAGTCTATGTTATTTGACGTAAACAAACAAATAACAATTTCTGTAGAACATCACTAATAACAGAAAAAGTAATCATATGCAGAGTAACGGTTAAAAATAGAATACTTGCAATTCATATATTTGACTTTAGTTTGAGTGGTCTCGTAATGATTAAAAGAAACAAGTTAGCCTAAAAACAAATCTGAGTCCGTGTTTAGGCTTTGAATTAATGGACTTTAACTTGCATTACATTTGGTTTATAATTGAGGACTGTCTATATCTATCTATCTATATATAACTTTCGTCTACTAAACAGCATAAAAATATGAAACCCAACAAATTTAATAGTAACTATAAATATTAAATTGAAATATCCCACATATTAATTAAAGTTTATTGGTAACATACTTTAGTAGTTTACAGATCCAACTGTTATTATTTGTGATATAAGCCTTTGGAGTTCTCCTTAAACCTGGAGACCTATATACCGTTTTTTAATCATATTCAGTTTCTCAGTGAAAGCAATATCCAACTGTTTATTCTGATTAACTAACGGAACGTGATTGATTATTTCCAGTGTAATTTTACCAAAACTACAGTCAATTTACATAAAAAGGTACAAATGATTTATGAATTTTCAAGTTGGTCAATGGACGAGAACATGGTTTAGAAACCTTAAATAACTCAAAATTTCTCAGATAAAAACACTAAGCTATGTTCAGTGAACGACGATATCAATGTTCAGAATAACAAGATATTTACAACTCTATAGTCATTTGAGTTTACATAATTTAAACTTGGAACAATAGGGATTGATTTCAATGATGAACGCTTTTTATAAACAGAGTTTGGTATTTTATTTTTAAAAAAATTGTTACACCACGTTCAAGGTGTTATACGCCTAACAATTAGTTTACAAAATATAAAAATATAGTTATTGTTAAAATAAGCATTTTACTCACTCACTGACTCACCAGAGTGTTACAACTTCACTGGAGTATGTTCTAATTGGTACAGACTGCGAACGTGCCAATCCTTAATTAAAGATTATTAACAGTTAATTAAAATAAATGAACCAATAAGCCATTTAAATAAAAATCTCAAAATTGAATTTTGAAAGTTATCATTTAACAGACAGGTTTTAGAACATCTAGGGGCGACAAATAATGAATGTAATATTTTCGTTAACCTGAATGAATAGATGTAATGTCTCTTCGTTAAACTTGAAAACCTACTCTGCGAACACTATAAGTGGCAAAATCACTTCATAATCTCTTCTCTATTCATTTTAGATGGCTTGCATTGCTTAGTTGAGCCAAAGCAAGATTAATAGCCTGGTGAACACTAATTAATTTTTAAAAGCATTCACATGTTATGTGACTTTGATCATTATCCGTAGGTACACAAATAGTTCTCGAGACGTAGATGCAAATGAATAATAGGTTATCGTTTGCTTACGTCACTGTTCATGTAAATTCACCCTCATGGATAAATTTTAATGACTAGCCGTATGGTTATTGATTGATTTACTTAGTTCATCAATCACCCACTTTAAAATGATAGCAGGATATTTTTGTTCTGTTTCATTTGTATATAATTTTCATGATTTCCAATCCTATTCTAGTTTGAATAATTTGTTACTTCATAGACCTGTATAAAACATTTTTTGTGTATTAGTGGATGATAAGTTGGCTTGTTGTCATTCACTTTACTGGTGATACAATTTCAACCTGTTATAAATTAATAGACTGGTTTATATCTGTAATTCATAAACATTATTTAGAAAAGAATACTGATATAAAGAGTAATATTTTCCACTAAATTATCGTCTCTGTTTAAAGGCCAGTATCATTTTAGATAACTGGGATTTGACTTCCCAAATATGATAATTATTTTATGTTCATTTTTGGAAGATCTCGAAGTTACTAATAGTTAATCGATGAAAAAAAGATGTCTATTTATTGTTATTTATGTTATTGAAATTTAATCCTATTTCAATTATCCACTGTTATAAATAAGTAGGAATGTTATATGTTTGAACAATTCAACAAAATCGACATTAGTAGCTTATTATCTATGTGAATAATAATTGAGTCAACACATCTGAATGATTTTAGACAAAGTGATAGGAAAAATGTAAATATTAAAAACCTGTACAAGAAGTTAATTTTTTTGAAATGCTTCTATAGAATTAGTGAAAAGAGATATTTCTAGTACTTAGGTACTATTTAAATCATTGGAAAAAACAGCACTTACAGTATGCATTCATTAGAACAAAAATGTAAGAGGATATTGTGATGAAAATGAACTTAACATTATGACCGAATGTTTGTTACGCTTCGAACTAAAGTGCTTTACCAACTTTGTTATATTAAAAATATCATATTTTGCATTTTATAATAGTTTGACCATAATTTAAATGAAAATTGTATAACTTTAAGGCTTGTTAAATCCACCAAGTGAGCAGTGATAATAAATGAGAATGATTTTTATGATGAAATTGTGTACTATTGAATAATTGACACATAATGATCATATTTTTAGAAATATTTATGCGGTATGATTGGTAAACGGTATATTACTTTATCTACATATTTGTTAATGTGAACAATCAACTCACTGATGTGTTAAATACGTGATATTTCTAATAAACTCAACACTGTGGCATCAACTTGTTGCTAACTCAGTTATGCACAGTAAATTATAGATTCACCGATCTGGTCAAGATGTAAGTAAATAATGGTGGATGTTATTCTGTAGTGAACGAACAACAACACCTAATGAATACTGACTACTGTCTATCTATATTTTTTAAGTTGATAGATGACAAGATAATACTGTTAAACTAATGTTCACTTAATTTATTGTATTGCGTAAAACTCGATTTTATACTGAAAGCGTGAGTCAATTAAAGTTAGACCACCAGGGAAAAAGTGGAAGCACTGAACGGCCTTTTCGTCCTATTGAGGAACCCCACAATAGGACGAAACGGCCGTTCAGTGCTTCCAGGTTTCCCCTGGTGGTTTAGCTTCAATTGAGTCACGCTTTCAACTGTGAAAATACTAAATCTCCACAAAAAACCCCTTCTCAATTTTATACGATTTTTGGTGTATATTATTCAAGGCTAACCCTAGATAATACCTTATGAAAACATCGATTAACATGTAACGAATAAATCACGTTGATCTTATTTGTACTTTATGTAAAATTCATTCTGATTTGAATTTTAGCATTTATGTGTTTAGTTTAAACAATAATGTCGTAGATACAAATTTTTATTTTTAATTCGTATATTTCATCTGATTGACAATTAGATTATAGCTTATAAAAAAAACGAAATTATGCAATTGAAAATCAATGATTTCTAATACATCCCTATTCTGTTATTTAACCATTTATATCTTTTTTATTAATTATACATGTTTACAGCTATACTATAAAATTTACAATAGCAGTGAATCAATAACACCCACTATCTTATAACAATTTAATCATTTTAATGCACGTTTTTTTGTCAAGAAAATGTATTACAACTCATCAACTAGCATTTGAATGCATTAACCGTCATGATCAAGATATGTCTATAACATTCATAGGAATTATTCTTAATTACTGCTAGAGCCATAAAATCTATCACCTATGTATTTATATCATGACTGGTTGCGTGTGAATCTTTGTTATGTGCACGAAGAAGCTATGATATTTTAGGAAAACTAAGTTTACTTATAAAGTTTATAATAGACAGTTTGAATGAATAACATTTCTATCTAATTGTGAGGCTTTAAGCTACATTTTACACGTACAGATGATACTAATTATATAGATGTTTATATTCAAGTCAAACTTGGATTAGTTAGGAAACTAAATAATTGATACTTTACATATCATCCTGATACAAAAAATTATACAAATACCAATGTTTGGATGAATATGTTTCAGTTTCAAAATGTAGTTGTAGATTTAAAATTTCCGGTTGTTTTGTGAATGCTTTTGACCGAAAACGTTTTATGTTTTTCGGGAACATCATATGCATAGAAATACAGAGGAATAGGTATTTTTAAGTAGGATTGTTTACTTCATAAACTGATCAACTGACATTTTATTTCAAGGATGCATTTATTATTTTTTTTCAGCATTCTGCTTGTGATTTTAACTGTATTTTCATACAGTTAAAATCCAGAACAATAAGTAATGCACTAGAAAAACTTTGAACAATTTAGTTTATCTCGGGTTTCAATATATTTGCACTTTTTTTCAAATCAAGAACCCTACTAATTTATTCACAGCAAAATGCAGACGAATTGTCTTTAACTGTTATTAATTAGAATGTGAGTTTGTGTAGGTTGTGGTATTTTCACAGTTGAATTCAATAAATTAACCTTACCTAAACCATTAATAAAATCCTGGTCTAGTCAAGATCAGTTTGTGATTTCCGTTGATATTATTTTTTTATAACCATTAGCTTTATTCAATATTATATTTTTGGTGCAATATAAAATTCTCAGCACAATGTATTTCAACAAGTTTCCGTTCTTTACGTCTTGGTCGATCTTGACGACAAATATTGAGTGATCGCCAGTTACAAGCTAGCAGTTCAGTCAATCGACATCTAAATAATGTACATTCTTTTCCCTGCATATTGCCAATAACTGCAGTATCTCCGATTCGGCCTTTGTAACGTGTACAAAGAATATTTGTATATATTTCAGAAACGCACCTGAATAGGTTATGCGATTAGTAGCCTTAATGATTTATTAAAACAAACAAAATTATATAACGTTTTGAAATATCTAGAAAGAAGGAACAAGTAGCCCAGATGTTTATGCAGGCCGCCTTACTTAACACGTAACCTTCATTTCATCGCGTGATATTTGTGAAGTTTCATATTAATAAATTAACATTCATAAACGAAATGTGATCATTATTTCTTTTTTTAAAGTCCTCGACTGCCCCGGCATGCAATGCTTTATGGTGTAGGAGTAGGTTGGAAGAAAGCTAGGGGCGGCCAGACCAAAACGTGTCATAAATCCATGAAGTCACTGACAAGTAGACTGAGCCATGTTGGTAGGTGTATACTACCTGGTTGGGATCCGCGACATGATAACAACCGATGATTAGAGACCTTGAATGACATGGCTCAAAATCGTTTGTAATGGCGAAGGTGTATCCACTGTTGTGTTCTGCCAAATTCTAATCTTCTGAATTCCTCATGTCCCCATCCTTTTTCTCCTTCCAAATTTATTTCACTGGATTATACTTCTTCAATAACATCTTCAAACCCTAATCTTTCACGTAGTGCTTATACTCTTACTACTTCTATCACTATGGGATTTGAATCGACAACTGCATCTCTGTGCTAATGTGGTATGGCAACTCGAACTGATGTACGTACGTACGAAGTTCTACGTTGTGACTGACCGACTGACTTTTTAAAGTCCTAATTAGGGTAGGTCACTTAGGTGACTCAGTTTTTCTGTGCCACTTTTGAACAAAAGCCTAGAGAGTAAAACTGTTGTTTTAGGATGGTTAAAGCAAAGTCAGTAACTGAAAATGTGAAATTTTAAAATAGCACGTATATATAAAAAACTGAAATACTTGAACTGTCATCAAAACTATAGTTTGACCATATTTTACACATGCCATACACCATAATGAATATAACCTATTCAACAACCACTAAATCCGATGTGTACACGGATACCAGTCTTGCGTGCACGTGAATTTTAAACTACTCATTGGTACTCAACATCTTTAACATAGTATTATAATGGAGATACGAGATTACTAGAAATACGTGCAAAATATGCTTTTGACGAAAGTGGTTCACTATTGAATAAAGTCTTTACAGTTCAGTTTTATTCAGTTAGTTAACAAAACCGACAAAGTGATATATTGGAATTTTTAATGAATTTTCCATATTACGATAAACATTTCACGCAGATAATTCATTTTGAAGACAGGTTGCATTATGAATTAACTAAGTAGACAGCCATTAGAATCTAAGGCGTAATGAAGATCCGTTTCATCACAAGATG